AGAGAGAGAGAGAGAGAGAGAGAGAGAGAGAGAGAGAGAGAGAGAGAGAGAGAGAGAGAGAGAGAGAGAGAGAGAGAGGATCCGGTCGGTGCTTTCTTGCTGGTGGAACCTTCTGTGTTAGGTATGTTGCCTTCTGGCCTTTACCTTCAGTTTTACAAATTGGAATAACTTATTATAACTATATATATTTGTGCAAGTGTTCCGCTTTGGCGGCAGACGGGTGTGTGGGCACGTCCCGCTCAACCAATATGGGGAACCTTGCACCTTCTATTGTATTGCTCATCAATACTTTTTTTTGTTTGTGGATGGTTTGTTGGTATGTGGATGGAATGAGAGAGAGTTTGGGGATGTTGACAAACACACACACACACACACACACACACACACACACACACACACACACACACACACACACACACACACACACATGTTCCGGTCTTGCTTGCTCTCTGTCCTGGCAGATTTCAGCGGTTACGATCGGGCTTGTACTAGGGAGCTCTTCTTCTTTCGTGGTTGGAACTGCCTTATTGCATAAGCTGGAAAATGGGTGCAGCGTCCTTACATGGCATGGCCACTCCGTGCTTCCTCTCATTATGGCTGGAGGACCCTGAGGCAGCAGCATTGATTGCTTCCTCTGTACCACCGCTCCGTCCCTGTCTGCTTTCTTTCAGGAAGGGTTATCCATGCTTCTTTGCGCTCCTACCGTTGCGCTCCTACCGTTGCGCTCCTACCGTTGCGCTCCTACCGTTGCGCTCCTACCGTTGCTCTCCTACCCTACCTAACCTGGTTAGCCCTGTGCTCAGAGCTGGCAACCTCTGGTAATCACAGGGCCGAGTCCCATTGTAGTGATCTGTGTGCCTATCTGCCCTCGCCAGGGTTGCGTCCTGTGCTGTGTCTTTGCAGACAGCAACCACTGAAGAGTGCGTCAGGCAGCGGTGTCGTTGGTTGTTTCGTTTATTACACATGGCTCAACTCTTTGCCGTGCTTCAGAGCAGGGCTTACCTCTTTGATGGAGGAATGTCTGCGGGTGGCCGTGAGTTTTCTCCGGGGTGCGAATGTATGTTTGGCGTTTTGGCCACGGTATCTCGCGAGGAGGCTGAGAGAGTGTTTGCTGTGGGTGTCATTCCCACAGGCTGCTCTTTTGGAGCACATGGAAGAAACGGAGACCTTGTGGATTTGGCATAGTTTGCACTGTGGCAGTATGAGATCATTTAATTCTGCTGTTCGTGCGGCCAGGGGAGATTCATGGCACTTTTTGTTTGATTTCTGGTCGTTTGTGCGCCGACTCAGAGGGCTCTCTAAGTTTTCTAAGACCGAGCCCGACGGTAGGGTTTGTGGGTGTGGTCAGCGCTTTCTTGTTGAAGGGTGGGGGGGGGGKGCTTTTGGGTTGTGGTGCAACTAATTGTCTATGTTCTGTGTAATTGGCGGCAGATGGGTGTGTGGGCACTTGGTGCTTGACCACACCAACGTGGCCAACCTTGCACCTTCTACTATACTCCCTATCTAGTATTGGTACCTTTTTTGTTTTATGGATGGTCTGTAGTGATTTGGAGAGAGAGAGAGAGAGAGAGAGAGAGAGTTTGGGGTTCTTTGAAACACACACACGCACACAGGAAAATAAAAGAAAGACAAATAGCAGTAGAATACGTGTCGCTCCCCAGGTGCAGTGTTGCGCTACCCGGCGCACTGCACCCAGCGCTTTCTATGTACGGTGCAGGCGGTGCGTGCGCACGGCGCCCCGTGCACTGCACTGCAAGTAAGGTGTTTCTGCATTCTTTTTCTCTATTTAATGGAACAGTGCCTTATAGCCCCAGGTCAGTCACATGCTGGGTGCATCAGTTCACTTGGCAAGTCGTGGATATGATGAAGCAAAGACTCTTGTGCTTCCATTTTGGTTTGGCGGTTTCTTCTAAGATCATTGCGTTCGTGTACCTAATTCGGGGTTTGCTGATGTGAGTCATCGTGAATGAAGTCAGTCAATGAATGCTGAATCAACCCCTAATCAGCTTTGATTCCTAAATTGAATTCCATCTCCAATTTTCTGTTTTTCCCTCCGTTAGGGAGGAGGAGGACGTGATGACGTGCTCGTGGGATAGGAATCCGACCGATTCTCCTCAGACTTGATGGGTGAATGGCCAACCATAGAAGTGGAGTTTTAGACCCGATAGTAAGAATTGGCTTCCTCCCCCCCC